GGGGGGGGGGATGTTTAAAGAAGGCTACAAAAGCTTAAGAAATCAATGTATGCCATCAAAAGAGGAAGGAAATCATGGCACAAGGAACCAGGCCCGGTACTTTCTATGAACTGAAATATCAAACTTGCAATGAGGCCCGAAGTTAAAGGCCTGTGCCATCAAGCCTGCAGACCGTTTACGAACTTGATATTCGTTAGACTTTCAAACAAAAACCATAAATTTTAATGGAGAAGTCTTCCAAAAATCATAAGGAGTAACAAAAACTTAAGTTTCATCGACGCAAACTAAAATATGAACCTTTCGTGGTATTTCAGACACAGACGATCCTCATGTTCCATCAGTTTCCGAAGGAGAGAAACTGAAAATTAACATAAATACTTCACCAGGTGAGAAAAACTATCAAAGGGTGGTGTTGTATTGTTAAAACTACTGAAAGATGACGTTTTTTATTCTTTTGAGTAACACGCACATAGTCAAGAAGAGAAATTCCGAATGTTCCCCACAGCAGACAAACCTTCATCACTGAGTCGGAGGTTCGTTATATGAAGGCTGAGAAATCAGATTTATGGATCAAACATCCTGCCAACTGCTATGATTGGAATCATAATAAAATTTAATCAGCGCAAATTTAAAAGATGTATCGTTCTTTGTATTGATTTCAGCCATGGAGGATCCTCAAGTTGCATTGATATCAGTTGATGATCAAGTTACCTCTGTTTCGGTTGAGAATGAACTGGACGTCCAAAGCAGCATATCACCAGGTAAGAAAATAATAGTATTCTACTCTTATCTCACCTGTAAGTGAGTGCTTTCAATAAGGAACACACATACTCAGAGAAGAGAAACTGCGCATGCTCTCAACAGAAGTCGAACAACTATCTCCGAACTGTGATGAACTCGTGGTGCAGAGGCCATTAAGTCAGATTTATGTAGGCGACAAATGACAAAAAACATCTTGTACACAGCTAGGATTGGAATGCTAGATCATGGGATGGAAAGAAGTAGTATAGCTTGTAATGTTGTTTTTCGGGGCTTTTTATGTCAGTCAACAGTTCCAGAACAAAACCCACAAACATGACGTGACTACTGACGCTTGATAGGATGTTTATAGCCTGCGTTTCTAGCTCGCTTTCCGCGGCTCGCTATCTAAGAACTTTTAGGCCTTTCCCTACGGAGAATGATCAGTGTATGAGTTATTCACACGTTTTTATGATGCTATTAAGCTATTAAGATCTTTTTAAGTAAGGATACACTAAGGGTTTATTATCTTAATATAACGCCGAAATTTCAGCAGAAGCAAACGAGAAGCCTTTAAGAATGCATAGGTCAAAAAGACTAGAAAAGCGGGAAGCAGGAAATCTTTACTCCTCTCCTTGTTTTAACAAAAGGAAACTGACTGTTTTGGCCTACGTTCAAACCACGAGTAAAATGAAGACGTTTTTCTAAGCGGAAACCACGAAAATTTCAATTCTTTTAGCAGACTTCATGAGAGAATCATAGCTTACATGGTATCTATGTATTTCAGCCGCAGAAGATAGTCAAGTTACCTCGATTTCAGCTGAGGAGAAACTGGATGTCCAAAGCGTCACTTTAGCAGGTGAGACGTGATAGATTTCTACTATCATCACCTCTAGGGCACGGTGTTTTAAAATAATGAATACGCGTATAATTAAAAAAGAGAGTCTGCAAATGCTCCCAACAGGAGTGGAACGTCCCTTACTAAACTGTGGGAGACTCGTGGTACGTTGACCATCAGATTTATGTAATTGATAAACATCTTGCATGTAGCTGAGATTCAAATGGTCGTATTCTTTTGCGTACAACAACAACAACAACAACAACAACTTTTATTTGCACCCTGAATTAAATTAAATTTACATTACAAAAAAAGTAATAAAAAAATTCAAATAAAATGCATGGCTGCCCAAAATAACCACCAGGCTAATAGAATTGAGCAGCCATCCTTAGGATCTTAAATACTGTAATGACTAACGGTGTCAGGTACTTGAGACTTTTTTAAGTAACACATACAACAACACAGAAACACACAGACAAAAACTAGTTACAAGCTAAAAATACAAATTAGCGAAAATAAGCAGGAAAATACAGTATGTATAGGCAGATTAACTAACGGAAGAAAGAAAATGTATAGTATAATCAAGTCAATTAGTAACTTGCAAGACTACTTTATTTTAACTTTTTCTTAAATTGTTTAAGTGGTAGAAGCTTAATGTCATCACTGATTGCATTCCAAACCTTAGCGCCTTGATATCTAATATTAAAAATACAAATGACCAAAGTTTGTTCTTGTCTTTGGCAGAGCATAAGTCATTCTAGAGAAAAGCCTTGTATTATAATTATGGGTTTCTTTGACTGAAGTGAAAAAACATTACAATTTATGGGAAGAAGTTCGTTTTTAAATTTGTACATAAAAACTGCAATGTGAACAGTTACTTCATCAAATAATTTGAAAGAACGAAGTGAAAAACAGTATCCTATGGCTGGTGGTTAAGGTTAAAGATAAAGTTACTGAGCAAACAACAGTCTAATAAAGAAAAATATCTTATCTTGCTCAAATTTATTCGCCGAAAAAAAAAAGCAAAAAAAAAAAAACAGAAAAAAAACTAAACAAGTTGTTTTCCAATGTCCATAATGTTTGCTTAATAAAGTATATTATATATACAAGGCTAAAAAAAAATCTTTTAGCCTTGTATATAGAATAAATTGTTTTCCAATATGTTGTCATGGATATGTACAATGACGTAAATCCGACCTTAACTTCACTCTTTTTTTTTTTAGATGTGGCTGAAGGTAAAGTTCCATCACCTGATGAAATACTAGGAACTGGTGACAATACGTCTACAGGTGAGAAAGAAAATCATGAGAGAAATTGCCTATAAAGGTGTCCGTGTATCATTATCTTCATCGCAAATCTTTCGCCTTTTGAGCGGAATTGTGATTTGATATTAGGTTTCACCGAGATAGTCTGCGA